CTCAACACGAATAAGACTGGAAAACCTCAGTGTGCTTTCGCTGTCAACAGCTGCACTGCAACAAAGGCTAGACAGACTGCCTGCAGAACAAATTTGCTTTGGATCTTGTTGTCATGAGCTGATGTGTGTATAGTTTTTGAAATGAGGCATTATGAGCCAGACAAAAGACACTGTTTCTAAGCTCCTTGTCTTTACAGAGTTCTGCCAACTGAGCCTTTGGCATTATAGTATCTACATGAGGTTATTCAGATCTGCCAATTCCAAACATGATAACACATCATCTCTTGCCTCTTTATTAGTTTTCTGTGGCACAAGCAAGTTCTCTAAAAACAAAATGTGCCCAGTACAGTGCAAGTCTTGGGTCTTTGGTTTTTTTTAGGTTATTGTTTTAATATATATTTAAAACAGATCTCAACAGTCCAGCACACAGGCCCAAAGCCAGTGTATAGCTTACACATAGCTTTCCACTACTTTGCCTTTGTGGGTACAGCTGTATAGTTGCAATCAGCAGGCCACAGTCATTGCAAGAAACAGTTTATTATATTTCAGAATGACAAATAGTTATGGACATTGCTTTTGTTGTTTCAATACACAGGCAAATCTGTATGGACAATCATTAGGTAGATGAAAACCAAATAAAATTATTTGTACACATATTTTACAATACATACTGTCGCTCCTTACTGGCTAAAGCAATATGCATTATGCAGGAAGGTATTGCTATTCATATAATACAGCTAATTACAAGATGACATGAAAAAAAAAGCAAAAAATAAGTTATTTAAATATCAATTACATATACAGAATGTGCAACTTCTGCTAAGCATTTCATATATGTAATTAAGAATTTAGGTTGCAAAACAAACTGGAAGTGAGTAACTGGAACTCAGTTGAATTAAACTTGGCATTGGGAACTCAATACTACATTAAAATACCAGCATAACCCCTTTGAAACTCTTTACATTACCTGACAAAGTTGTCCATTAATGGACCTGTGAACAAAATGTAGCCAATTTTTGCCTATAAAACAGTTAGACCATCTAAAGTGCATTTACAGTGTCAGTATTTTCAATCTTTACAAAACACTTTTCGGGTCTTCTACTAACGACCCCCTCTCCTCACTTAGCCCAGAGCACCACTTTGATTGAGAGGAAAAAAAGGCATCGTATATCCATCCATCTGCCTGCCAAGTGCCCACTGCAAAACATAGCCTCTAAATTTTGGAGTAACTGTTGTTCAGAATTTCGATTAATGAAATGAAGTCAGTCATCAGCTTGATTCTGGCTACAAAAGTTATAACTGTTAGAAATAAAAAGGGAGGGAGAGAAATAATATTTATTTGTTCAGTTTCATTTAGCGTGTGCAAACGAAAGACTAATGAGATTCTGGATAGTTTCAGTTGTGTTTTTGATCCCAAGATTCCCTCCCCCCTCAGGCCGACCTCGCTCAGCATTTCCCTGAATTTTAAAACTTGTTTTTCTGAACACGGAGGTCAGCTTTTCACCTGATGTGACAGCTTGCATCGACCATTCCTTTTAACTGTTTGACAACTCATACTAGCATTGATTTGAAGAAAAGAAAATACATCCCACACAGCTTATTGTTCTGCTATGATTTAAATTCCTCAACGCTGCAGCCATTGTCGACAGTCCAGTAAATTCGGGACTTGACAGCCCAGACGTCAGCTGTGTCTTCGTGCTTCCCGGTTCCATAACCCCTCTACAACACGTACAGTCAGTGTGTTTTAATATGGTCCAGAGATGTTCAGCAAGCAATGGTCATGCCTGTGGCAAGCCTGTGGTGTTGTGGTATTAGCCTGGCTTCACTGGAATGAACACATCAATCACTTAGAAACATGTTCTGGGCTCCACATCCATGTATATCAGTGAAATGATCTAGTTGAGAATGCATGTATAATATGTATAGTATAGGATATATGCCACAGTTCAGTCTCAGTCTTTGTAGCTCCTCAATCATAATGGTAAGGCAACTTAAAAGGTCCGTTGACACACCAGGGAATGTATTATTTCAGCGAGAGGTGATTGTAAATTCTACAGCAAAACAGAGCTTTCTAAGACGTTATATAAGAGCAAAGTGCCCATCCAGGATATTGTTGTGAAAGGGTAAAGTATAAAATACAGAACTATAAAATGACAGGGTGGGCTCGAAGTAAGCCCGCAACGATCAAAATGCAAAACACAAATTTTAACACGAGTCATTTTGAAATTAAGATGTGCACTATGCTACAATATATAAGCATGACACAAAATAAGCCACCTCGAAGCCATTGTTTGGCGTGTGTATTTAGTCGATTAACAGTCCAGATATTAAATGTGTCGCGTCATCGTGAAACTATTAGTGGGAAGCAAACATCGAATTATGTCGCTTTGGCTGAGCTACTTCCTTAAATGACCCTCAGATTAAGTTGCCTCTGCCGCACGACAGATGAAAAATGAAGCACTTATGAAATATGCAGAAAATAGTTTTTCTTGGTTTTCTTTTTTAAAAAAAAAATCCATCCTTAAAAAAAACCCAAAAAAAACCAACCCGTGTGCTATCTTCCTTAAAGGCAGATCCAAGTCTTTATTTTAAGACTTTGGGAGACGTCTTCAGAATGGAAGTCATCCCACACAGTGAGTCTACAGTCTTTTTTGTCTTTTTTCTTTTAAAGGCATCTGATATCTTGTCTTGGCTGTTTGGAGGAACTCCTCGATGTCGTAAACATTTGGAAAAAAGACAGCGTGATAAAAGAGAAAGGAAAAAAAAAAAATCAGAGAGCAGGATATGTCTTTAACATGTGCGAGAAGAAACGCTGTAGTGTCGTGAGGGCCAATTTACCCAAGGCCACCTACTGACCACGAGATGGTGCGGATCAGTGAGTTGATGCGACTCGACTCCACCAGCATGCTTACGACTGAACCTCTCTGTGTGCGTGGACCGATCGCGCCTCACAGATCAGGCGGCGGACGTGACGTTCGTCCCGCACCCCAGCTTCCCACGCACTGCTCTCGGTTAACAAGGCCACGCGGCTCAGCGTGTCAATCCCTGCTGTTGCCAGAGTTGTGGAGTACATGGGTAGGCCGATGGAGATGAGCCAATCGGAGACGGTGCTGATGTTTCCTAAGGTGGGAGGCTTTCGGCACATCTCCGTCAAACCTCCAGAGGGGATCTGAGTGACACAGTGGTTTAAAAATCATTAGTTTCACAGGATGATGGTGCATTTTGTAGGCAACTTTGGCCCGAAAGCTCTGTTTCTGAACAACTCATGAGGCTCTATTAACATCTTTAGTGCTTTTACTGTTGTTTCATAACAGTAATTACATAGCCATTCCCTTTATTATTTCCACATTTAGCTGGACCATTAGATAGCCAAACAACCGTAATTTGCACTTCACCCCAACAATGGCTTTTGGTCCTTCGAACTGACCAATTTTCCAGGCTTCATTGTTACATTTCAGAAAAGCCTCACAGCATTTATCTCACACTAAAATGCATAAAATTGCCCAAAAGTGGACTCTATCGAAACACTCAGGATAATTATTGTTCCCTTACAGCCATGCGGTGTTGTTTACGGAGCTCTTTGACTCTGAACTGGTCTATGGTAGACGCCACGTCTTTGACTGGCTGCTCCAGATCCTCGGAGTAACGCTGTACCAGCGGGTGGGGGATGCCGCATCGGCCGTGCTGAAGGAGGAAAGTTGTGAGAAAGACATTGAATATGGCTAGGAGAGAACAACACTTTGAAACCACTTAAAGCTAATATCATTAAACGCCTTCTAAAATCAATAAGCAAATGTGTTCCTGTTCTTTGAAACGTCTATTCTTTCATTTGACCTTTTAGACAGCTATTCATGCAAATCACCTCCTCCCCATTTCCAACATCAGTGTCATCCAAAAGTGTCCATCTGCTCCTTCACCAGGAATGTATGAACCCCTGGGTCCTGTCCTATTTCCTACCTTCATTCAAAACTCTACTTTGCTATGCTGCTCCATCAAATCGCAAAAGACTTTCATCTTCTTTTTCCCCCCCCCTACAATCTCTACTAGCCATGCCCTAACGCCCTCCTTCACTGAAATCTGTAGATACTGATTCACTCATAATCTAAATCATTCATTAAGTTACCTAACTGACTTCTGACAGCCAGAGTGAAGCCTCAAGGCGCACTGGCACACGTTGCTAGTAAGAGAACAATGCGCCTCTCATGTCTCTGCCAGTCCACTTATGACTAACAGGAATCCAGCAGAGCTCTGCTGTGGTCGAGGGCCCCACTTCTCACCTCATCACTTGATGCCTCTGTTTGCATATGTGTTGTTTTCTTGCCAGTGCTGGGGGCTCCAACATGTTCAAGGGGCCCAGCCTGGGGTCTGGCAAGAGCCAGGAGGTTTTATAACCCCGTCTGCCTTCAGTAAGATTCAGCCCATAAACTTAACAGTCTGAACCGCATCATAGTGAGACTCAAGCCACAGTCTTTCCTTCTCAGCTCCAGCATATTTATTATTGCGCGCACACACACACACACACACACACCCTCACCCACCCACACCCTCACTCACAAATAAATGCCTTTAGATATAAAATGGCATGCGCACACAATGAGAAACACACAGACTCTAGACTCTATTAGTGTCTATTTTTAAACCAAGTTCCAAAAGCAAGCTGCTCATGTTTTTGCCCTGAACACAAAATTATTTGGATCAGAGCTTCAGTAAAATTATGACTGAGTTAAGTTAGGCATGTTACAATGCTGAACCAAAAGACCCTGATGCCAGAAAAGTATGGCCTGGAGGTGGTTTGGATTTTTATAAATCAAATATTTTTCTTGAGCACTGAAAAGGATGTGATTCTTATTAAAAACCAAATATCCTATCTGTGTGTGTACATCTATTTTTCAGCACAAAAACTTCTGCTTCAAGAACAAACAGTTACTGAAGGAAACCAGTTTTAAGCTTTTTAATGATTCAATGTTAAACTGTCACCCTTCATTTTAATGGTATCTGAACTGGTTATAAATTCATCTATCACCAGTGAAAGTAAAATGTAATTTGTAATGTAAAATATGAGGTAACTTTTCATGTTTTAGATGATGCTTAACTAACCTTGTCAGAGTAGGGCTCCTCGGTAAGATCAATGCCCTCACTCTGCAGCCGTTGCTCCAGGAGGGTAAAAAGATCAGGACCTGTCTTGGTATGGGAAAGTTTCCTCGTAACAGCCATCTTGCTTCCAAGATCCGAGAGCCAGGGAGGCTGCACCGCTGGTGGAGTGCCGGATTCCTCGCCCATGGATGAGGCTGATGAGGTGGCACATGGACTGGCTGGAGTACTTGGGGTCTTGGGAGGCAGAGCAGGGGCACTCAGGCCAGGGCTGCGGATTATAGGGCTGCTGGGTTGAGAGCGATTGAAGGAGTGAGTAGGCGAGGCGGTAGGGGATGGCGAGGAGGGAAGGGAGAGAGGGGGGTGACGAAGGCCATTGACTAGTCTCTCTCTAGATTTCTTTGCAGGCACAGGGGGAGGGATGGGAGGCTTTTTGGGGTGAGTCCGCATCACCCTCTCCCCACTAGCACTAGAATCAGGAGGACTTGGAGTGGGGCTGGAAAGGGGCTCTGGAGGGTTGGAGAACATTGATGTTGGACAAGAAGAGCGTAGGCGAAGCTGTGAGGGTACTGGCGGCCTATCAGCCCTTCCTTTAGGACTAACCGTTGGAGTCCCATTTTGAGCTGGAGAAACGGCGTCTCTACAGGGCTTGATGGGGCTAGTTTTGCCTGATTTGGGTATTTCCTTACTAAGCTTAAGCTCCACACTGAGATCGTTCTTCTGCTCAAAGTTCTGCAGATCTCCCAGAGAGTGGGAGCGCTTCCAGGGTCCGGTGGGCTGCGGGGGACCATCAAGGTCCTCGCAGCTGCGGCTGGCTGGGATTGGAGACCGTCTTTGGGCTTTTCGCAGCCCGAGCAGGTTGAAGCCCTTAAGGGAGGGCTTGATGAAGAAACTTTTTGGAAACTTTGTGCGCTGATTTTTGCTGTTCTGCTGAAGAGCCTCTGTAGAAAGAGTCATGGGCAGTGTTGGGTAATCTGGAGACTGGTGTCCTGCTGAAAAATGACTGGTTGCTTTCCTGCTTTTACCTGGAAAATAAAAAAAAATTCTCTCTTAGCTTTGAACTCTAGATAGTTTCCAAGGTTTCTCCCTCTTTACAGTGAATACGTTTCTCACTCTTCCACTTCTCATGGAAAGACTTGCGCTAATATAAATACTCTATTCATGCAAATACCGTGCATGACTCAGCATGAGTGTTCTTTACTGTCTTGGCTGCCTTTCCTCCCAACTGTTTTACATTTTTATGTCTGTAAAAATTCAGCAGCTTGCACACTGCAGGACTCCAATTTGTCCATTTATTGCACCACAGACATTTGCTGTCCTCTGTGATGACTTTTTGCAAAAATGAAGAAAATTTTATTAGAGGAAAAAAATGAATTAACACCAATACTCACTTTCCTGTGGGTCTGAATATGTTCCAAAGTAAAACTAAATAAATAAATAAAACTGATAGAAACATCATATCCTTACAACATTAGCCAGTCAAAAGCAGACAGGGCTTCTAAAGATGTTCAGATAAGTGTTCTGATTCATGAACTTTTGTTGGCACTATAGAAATAACCCCAAAGAAAGCTGCCTGAACGGGGGACTTCAAAAGCCTTGGAACAAAAGTATGAAGTAACTTACCATATATCCTTTGGTTTACAGAGCAAAATGGATGAATGAAATGGATGAGAGCCATATAGTGCAACTCAAAGATTTAAAACAGTGGAATGACAGGAAGGAGTTCAATAGATGAAATCCCAAGAAATGCTTCAACAGTTCTCATGTGTATCAGAAAAGTTTGTTGACTGACTATGAAGGTTAAAAAGGATGGTAAGCTATACCTTTAAATACATAATTGCATAATTATGCACATACCGTTGCATCACTCTTAATTACAATCTCTACATTTAATTACTTCTTTAGTCAGGATACTATACTTTGCTGTGACAGCGGCACACAGATGGGAAACAGGTAAATGGCTGAACTCTGTTCTGTGACTAATTTAGCATCTTTCAGATTATAAATGAATTATAAGCTGAAAATGTGTTTGGGCATTCAGTCATTTTTGGGGGAAAATACCTTAATGGACTGCATTGATGCCCCCAAAAAGATTTGTTTAATAAAAGAAAAAATACAGTTAAAAAAAGTTCTGTGTGCACTCATGATACACATACACACACAAATTACATATTATAAATAATATTTTTAGCCAGCATTAATTAATGCATTAAAGGAGTATTTTAATAAACGAGTTATTTAATGATTGGAGGAAGATCTGCTGCATCTATACAGAGGAATCAGAATGTTAAAGAAGAGCAGACAGTCAGGGCTCTACAGCGACGTTTTCCCCAAAATTAGAACGTTTAAATGACATCTGTTGGTTGGTTTTGAGTTATCTTCCATTATAAAAATTCATGCTGCCCTTTGCCAATACTCTAGATTAATAAATATTCAGAAATACTCATTAATATACAATAGCATATTAATGAATCTATTCTTTACGTTGGAAACATCCTTTAAAAGAAATGGAAGCCTTTCCCATTCCCTCTAATATTAACTACTACCAAGTTTATTTTGATATAAAAAGTCATAAAATACCAGATAACATGCCGGATACTATTATTTACTCCTAAAAAGTATTCATTCACATTTTTCTCAAAATTTACCAGATTCAGATTTAATTGTTTTAATTACGGTACTTTGCAAAAGTCTTGAGCCACCACTTTTATTTTTACATTTTGCCCTGAAGGAGCCAGACATTCTTATAGCTTTTAAAAATGGCCTTGAGCAATAGCTCTCCAGATTTTGGGGCATATTTTTTCTTTGGACATTGACTGCTTTTTCAATACCTGACCAGGTTCAGATTTTTTTTTGAGTTTAGTGAGTCAGACGAGCACAAAAAGGCACCCGACTCAAAGCATGAACTAGTGTTGTGTCTACACATAACTGACAACTGAGAAAGAACCAATTTTAAACGGGCCTGTGTAAATGTTTTGCAGATTCAACAGGAACTTCAAAGATAAAAGTTTGATAGGCAGGAAATCAAACGTATCTCAGCATTGAATGCAGTGTGTCCTTAAAAATAAGGAAACCGGACAAGTGGAGGACACAAGAAGTGGTAGGCCCAAAAGAATATGTACAGCAGATGAATAGCATCTGAAACTCATGTCCTTAAGATATCCAGCAAAGACCCGACACAGGAACTAAGAGATGCATCAGGGATCTTGTCAAAAATGATGGAACTATGAATGGTTAAAAGTACTGTCAGATTTAGGCAACAGCTTCATTTTTCAGCATTTCAGTGATTGCAAACACACCCAATGAAACGCTATCAATCATGGATTGGCATCCCCAGAGCCCAGACCTTAACATTACTGAAGCAGTGTGGGATCATCTTAACAAGACTGGAACAAAAGGCAGCGAACATCCAAAGAAGAGCTTTTAATGTCTTTCAAGAAGGCTGGAGAACTATTGAAGACTGACAATAATGACAGGAACAGCTTGTCTAAGAGTTCAGGCTGTGTTTAAGAATAAAAGCAGCCATATCAAATTCACTTTAAAGCTTTTTAGAATTATATAAGGCAAAAACTGTATTTCCACATATGTTTGCACATATTTCTATAAATCACAGCATCTATTTCCTGGCAAAATATTTAAAACAAAAAACAAGCGTGTGGCTCAAAACTTTAGCACAGTATTGCATGTTGCATGAGAAAATATGAAAATCTAGTATCAGGTCTAAATCTTAAATTAATAATAATAATTGCATTAGATTACACAAAACTAATAATACAAAATGACTACTTTTCCCTTACTGATTTGTACCGAGAGAACAGCTGTGGAGCCCTGAAAGCACAAGAAGAAATGCAGAGTGTTTACTAATTGTTAAGGATCTAGTTTGTGAACAGCGTTTAGAGGCATGAAAGGAAAAAACAGACAAAAAAGGCGAAACAGAAATCAAACAAGCAGCACCAGAGTCCTTTTTTAATCAGAGAAGTGGTTTTATTCCACAGCTTAAATCTCTACTCTTGCAGACTGCAAGAGTAGAGATTTAAGCTTTGCTTTGCTCTTCAGCCTTAACAACATATATGTACATAAAAGGGAAACCAGTAGTTACACTGGGGCCATACAGATACAGAAAAAAAGCAGTAAAAGGTGAGTGTTTGAGCTGTTAAAATGGTCCTACGTGTGGAGGAAGAATACAGTCTTTTGCAGGGACCAGTCTCAACACGTACACAATCGATTGGAAAAATAAGACCCCAAACCTCTAAGAAAAACAACAAAACTGCACTATAGTTTGAAAATGTTTTCATCCGCATCATTTTAGGCACATACTGTATATGACTGTGCAATATGGTCGCTATAAACAAAACAAATAAAACAATGAATCGGTGATGATAAGATGAGCTGCTAGCTGTGATCTGACATCTGACCGTTAAATTTGCTTAAATTTCAATCGGCTGAGAGAATCAGCACTGCAAGAAAGCTCAAGCGTGCACTGGCAAACTACTCTGCAAGTTTATATCTGGATTAGAAACACTCAACAGAAATATTCTCTGAGCTCACAATCGTCTTCCTCGTATTCACCTACAGGCCTTGCGCCCACAGGTGAGACAGTTGGGAAGCAGAGTCCATGAGTAGGCAGTGATTTTGTTCTCTTCAGAACGGTTTTGTGCATTGGGGAGCGCGTCCCCCTCTGTGTTCCCAGTATTGTGGGGTGGACTAGGCTTAGTGGTCTGGGGCTTGGCTCCTTCTCAGTTACAACTGGACTTTGGCACTGATGATAAAGAATGCCTATAAGATGAAAAGAGTGGTGAAGAAAGTAGAGTGCAAGCACAGTAAAAGTGTCTGAAGTAAATAAGGGCTTTGTAAAGATTGGGGGAAGGTAAGGCAGATGGAAAGATGAGCTTTTAGGAAGATGCTAATTCAAAGGAGTGACATGGTCAGGGTGTTAAGATGCAGTGCAATACAAGTGATGGAGAGAGGTGAAGGTCCAGACAGGAAAAGGGCAAAGGAGTCACTGTGGTACTAGGACTAGAGTAGAACAAGAATAGGCCTTAGTTAGCCTAATACCCAGTGGGCTTTGGGTAATGGTGGCATAAACTAAGTAAAGCAAGCGTTACCATTCTCCAGGTTCTCATTGCTCTCGTAGCACCCAGAATCCCGTGGGGAGTCTCCCACTATGCTCCGACCCTCCAGCAGCAGCTTTTCCTGGGAACCTGACATTCCACTGCGCTCTGGATCGCTACTACCTGAAAGTCACAGAAAGGCAAATGATTTCCTTGTACTTTAAAGTATTATTTTCTCATAATATATACATAATACATACAGTGGTCCCTCGCTATAACGCAGTTCACCTTTCACTGTTTTGCTGATTTTTTTTTGTGCAATTTTGAATGCCTTTTTTGTTTTTAACAGCGCATTGTGTTCTGTGTCCTGATTGGCTGCAGACCATTGTCAATCAATCTCGTGCCGTGTCTCCTGTACAGTACGGAATGCGTTCAGCTTGTCAAGTTTACATAAGTCTTCGATCGCTGGCAGTGTGACTCTGAAGTGCTGTGGTGTATGTTGTATTTAAGTTTTCTCCCCAACAAACAACAATGTCGACGAAATGTTTTGGTTTCATTCTATAATACTGGACTTATTTTTCTACAAAGGTTTGAACTTTCAGAGTGTTTAAGCAAGAGAGAAGAGTGAAAATGTTCATGTCTGTCTGAGAAAACTGTATAAAGTGTGTAGTGAGGGGTTTTACAGCCTTAAAACATCTATAATAATTGGCTACTTCGCGGATTTCACCTATCGCGGGTTATTTTTAGAACGTAACTCCCGCGATAAACGAGGGACCACTTTTTAGTCACTTCCTTCAGATTTCCCTTTCCCTGTTTGGCTCCTGTAATCTGCTGCTGCATAAATCTAAATTTATATTTCAGTTTGTCAGGTTTCCTTCACTGTTATCCTAAAAACTCTGGCACACAACAATATTTTGAGGTTACATGAAGATGTCCTTGTATAAAAAAACCACAATCAAAAACATAAACTCATGGAAACAGTCTAAACGGTCTACTTACTGTCATACTCCTGCAGCAGCTCCACTGCAGTGAGCAGTACAGCTCTGTGCTGAGGATCGCTGATGTTCAGTTCATCCAAGTCCTCTTCTTCCAGCAACTTGAACGTGTCCAGGTCCTCGTAGCCATTGAACAAGAAAGTGGGCATGTAATCCTATTCAAGAGAAAGCAACAAGCTAAGCTCGAGGCTGTTTAAAGACCAAATAAAATAAATGCAGCAGACTAAAGAAAAATACACTGATCTGAGTCACACGACCAGGAGCAGAAGCATAAAATTCACCAGGTTAAAAAAAACAAAAACAAAAAGAAGAACTTCTGTACAACAGATACTTTTCATCTGCTCATAATTTCCTGTCTCCATTTTTAAACTGCAGGGCAACATCTGAACTGCTATTTTGATATTTTTGGTGCCATGTAATCACATTACGCCACAGCTAATTCTGTTATGGCTGCTAATCTGTCGACACATTTTAATGTAGCGCAACATTTGCAATGGTGACAGATATATGAAACCAAAAAAATAAATAAAAAAATTAAAAAATGAGCGAGCTAGTATCACCATCTTGGAGAACATGGCCACAGCTGGCTGTGACCAAAATGGAAAGCATGATTTTGAAAAGGAAACCAACACACGTGGGAACAAGTGAAGGTTCAAAGAGTTTCATCAAAATACTTCTCAACCACAGATGTCAATGTATTACCCACCAACACAAACACACACTAAAGCAAGTCACTCAAACCACTGTGTTATCTGAAGTGACACAATGAAAGTTTTTTTGATTTTATTTTGGGATACACCCCGTGTGAGCGCAAAGTCCACTGACAGCAACACAACGACCGCTTCCACTTTGAATATCGCTCGGTTCCACGCCTGTGCGACCCACACGTTTTTGTTGGACAAATATTGAGACCGTGTGTCATGAGCAAGACCATCAATTACAGCGCTGGAGTCCAGGGCAGAGAACTAGGTTGGTCTGTCCCGTTTCTGCTGGATGATGCGGGACTAAACAAAGGACCACCAACTAACACAAACACAGGCAGCTGGCTCCTCTCATTCACCAATTTTTTCGTGTTTTTGTGCCAGCTGAAATATGTAAACACGCTCCACATCCGAAGACTATTTGGCAGAGTCCACTGGTGGAAAACAACAGGGGTGAGGAGATTTACACTTCAGTTACAGAGAGGCCCTGTTGAAATCTGATTTTCCAGTGTAACCAAATGTTGGCCTAGAAGTTCCAAAAACAAAGTAATACTACTACTTTGGCCTGTGACAGCTCAATTTTAGAATATTTAGTGCTTAGATAGCTTATCCTGCTGGGATGGATACTGCAACGGAGGAAAACCTGAGAAAGGCTGGAACTATAAAAGATTACTGAGGCATTCACTACAATTGATTTACATTCTAGTATAAAACTGCCACTGAGGTAGCCAAAAATGATCTGAAGATAATGGATTATTTTGTCTTTTTTCCTTATTCACTAACCAACTTTCACTTTTTAGGTTTCTAGCTACTGGGCTCAAGATGACATGGCAGGCTAAAAGGAGAGATCAAGAAAAATGTTGAGCTTGAAGTCATTTCTCACGTTTTCTTTGCCACTTAAACCACCTGAAAAAATGAATGCACTGTGGTTGTATATCATGTATAACATCCGTTCCCCACTGCACAAATCTGGGAGGACATGAGCACTCTGATGCACTTATAAGAGCCAGATTCACAGCTTAGTAGCATTAATCTTTAATCTGCAGCTTGGCCACCAAATTGGAATGGGATGAAAGAGACAACACACAAAACTTCTCTCTCTATTTGGGGAAGTGAGGCCTGCTGGCTGCCCGGGTGGGAGGAAATGATATCACGCTCACAGTGATGTGTAGGTTTTGATGAAAGATGCGAACTATTTGTCGGGGTGTGGCAGTCACAGTGTGGGTGTTAATGTTTATGCGTCAGTGGCAAATCAAACATCCAAAGCTGTGCAGCCTGTAATTAGACATACTATATTTATCTCCGCTTGTCTGCAAATGTGCTTGAGATATTTGCCTAACACAATATTTTCATTTGCTTCAAAGCATTTGTTTGCTTTTACCGAAGTGCCAGATGGGTGGGCTTATTATCCAGTTAAGACAGCCGACTGATTGCAACCAGCGAACGTAACTTTTTACATTAAAGCCACTTCACTTTCAATACATGGCAAAATCTGGCTGGTAATGTACCTTGAGATCGATACGATCCAGTAGCTCCTCCACTGAAGTGGGTTTGGGTGGCCGGCCCTTCCTCCTCCTCCGAACTGGCCTTTTGGGCTTCTCCTCTTCTTCAGTCAGCACATCCACATAGATGAACTTGAAGGTGCCTACTTTGTTGTTCAGCAGGCCCATCCACGTTCCCATTGGAGGCTTGCTGATGATGTCAATCACATCCCCACGCTGGAGAAAAGATAAGTTAGCTGAGCATGACATTTTAAATTTGACCCTGAGGTTTCAAACCGCTTTGGCTGATAGAGGATTCAATGTCTCTGTGAGGGCAAGGAATAAGGAATATGCTGAAAGCCTATTATTACATCTGTAAATAGATTATAGTAGAAAAACTTTCAGAGTTACAAGGCAGCATACAGTATTGTGCAAAAGTCTTGAGCCATCCATCCATTGTGTGTTTTGTTTGTGCTCATTCTCATGCTGAAAACAGAGCAGATGCTTTTCTGATAAGTCAAAATAGGGCTGCAGTTTTCTGCTTGCATAATTCCATCGGTTGAGACATGATGCCAAGCACCGCCGGCTAAAATGCAGTCCCAAATCATCGCACCTTACAGATGTGCAGTGCCAGATCTTTGCTGGATTCTTTCCTATTTCTTAAAGAAACGACTTTCCGATACTGATCATCTGCGCTAGATATTTTATTTAGTTCTGCCATTTCTTGTGTCCTCCGCTTGAAGAATTTCCTCCAATTTTTTAGGGGAACACTGCACACCATGCCGGGTTATGCCAAGATAATAACGCTTTGAGAGTCAGCTTGTTTGGGTAAAAATATTATTTTGTTATTACTACTGAGAGTCCGCTACAGAAATGGGAACACATTATGGGTTATTGTGACAGGCTGTTAGGCTGATTCATGCCTTGAGTTAGGAGCATTTTTATGCTCAGGTGATCGATAAGTTAGTGTTAAGTTGTAAAACAACCAACAATAACTAGACACTGGACACTGGACCCAAAAGGAGTGAAAAAAACAGCCGCTCATTCTGTCCAAAGAAACACCTTCAGACAGTTTGGAGAACTATTGCCCAAGACCACTGTAAAAAATGAAAAGAAAATCTGGCTCCACAGTAGAAAAACAGAGATATGAAGGGTGGCTCAAAACTTTTGCACACTACTGTCAGTGTCCAATAATACCTTCAGTTTGAGGGAGTCCGTATCGTAGGGGCTAGGAGTGAAGTCTGTATGGACTCTGGCACGGCCACAGAATGGTCCTCTATAAGGAGGCTCCTCGTCATCGCCGTCCTCCGACTTCACGCTTTCTCTGTTACTGGTTGATGAGTCGGTGGTGCTCACCGTCTGACCACCTGAGCATAGAGAGACAAAATAGCTAAAAGCTACAAAATAGTTGCCTATAAATCCATTACTAAACTTCTCGAAATAAAAGTGCAGGCCTTCCATTACACTCTACATCAATAACCATGACAATAGGTAACAGGTAGCTTTACTTTTTACAGTGATTGAAACTTTAAAACTGGGTTTTCATCACTTGTATTACAAACTATTGGGAAAAACAGCACATTCCCTCTGATTCTGAGTGAAGTGTGTTGAAATCATGTCGACGTGTGGGAATATGAGAGCTAAGACTTCCTGTCTAATCATTACCATATGCTGGCCTGTGTGTCTGCTCTGTGGCTCACTGAAACTTGGCCAAGTCTTCATTTCAGCCACAGCTTGAAGTGATGCAGTGTATTTTTTTTTTCACAAAAAAACACAAGGTTGAAGACTCCAAATAATGTAATTAAATGAAATAGCTAAAGAGATTAAAAGAAAAAAAAAATTGAAAACTCCAAGGCCATAACACAAGGATCAGGTGGTAGGTCTGGGTATAATCATGCCACAAAAATCATAACTGAAGCAGAGAAGAACCAGCCAGCAGCAAATGCTATAAGCACCATCTAGTGTTGTGGCTGCCTCAAAACAACTATTTTTTTTGTTTAAATCTATGCAAATGCATAAATTGTCCTTATTATTTGTTGATTTGAAAGAACCTAAATACAGTTTTTATTCAGAATCGGGTAGGAAAAATATGAAAGCAGCTGTTTGCACAGTCAAACCCTTGTCTGAATAAAGGTTCTTTTAAAAGAAGTCTTACTCATTGAACTCTGTCCGCTGAGTGAACTGCGCAGGCTTTCCACAGAACCTCCGGCCTTAAGCTTCGGTTTCTCGAGAGAGTCTGTGTCAGGCAGAGGGGATTGTGGAGAACCAGGGGCTGCATCTGGACTGGACTAAAAGACAAATGGAAAGGAGAGATCCAGATGTGTAACGAAGGAAGAGAAAGGCACAAATGATTTTGCATTCAAGAGACGAAAGCATGTGATAAACAGCAGGTGGACGTATAACAACAACAAAAAAAGAAAATTACGTAAGGGAGACAATCATAGCTTGGTTAAAATGCAGGTGAGGGTATGACAGGGAATGTCAGCATTTTTTGTTTAAGCCATTAATCAAATTTTTTACCAGCTAGCAGGATTAGGGGTTAAACATTTGCGTGCGTGAGGCAAAAAACAAAAACAGTATGAACCCATTAATTTAATCACACCATAATCAAATCATTAAACATAATGAGAATAGCAAATGAGGAACACATTAGTAACAACTAGATGAAAAACCTTTGATTATTGGTCTTCTCAGCTAAGCTTTGAATGTCTAAAAACAATAAAAACATGACATCTTTTTATTGACAGTCGGTCAAATGTTTAGTGCTGCTTCTTTTTGAAAGAAAACAGATTAGAAAGATGTAAATATTAACCGCTCGTTCTTAGCTTTAGTCATTTATGATTTTTAAGAGCACATGTACGAAGACCCATTTTCAGCTGGCATCACTCCCATGCTCCCAAGTGTCACACTGTGTTACTTGATAAAGTTTATTATGTTCTTCCTTTACCTTAGTGCAGGTAAAACATCAGGCTTTGTGAGATGATTAAAATTTCTTTGAAAATCAAACGGATTTCTAAATGAAGGTAAACATATTGATGTATGCTCAATCATCCAGGTAAATAAATCTCCAAAAGTTGATTCTGTTCATCTGGACGTAGCGTTTTGTGGGAGACGCTACGTCCAGATGAACAGAATCAACTTTTGGAGAAATGAAGGTAAACTTTGGAGCAGTGATATATATTTTTATATACTGACAGGTCAACATTTGCTGTTCGTGTCTCATAAATCCACTAGGTGGCACTGTGGTTTATCAAATAGCTGACAAACTGTAACATAGCAATTCATCTTTCTTCACTCCTCCTCAACCAGCATCTCCATGACTCATGTGAGGATATCTGGGTCACTTTGACCACCATGGCAAGCAGATGGCCGACTGCATGTTAATGACACGTCCTATGAGGTGACATCAAACTGTGGAGCTGGACAGGCCACTGGTAAAGTGAGTAGATGCCCAGAAAAATAAGGTCAGTGCAAAGGAGACGATCCTTTTACGACTCGCATACTTTAACTCTCCATCTCCTAAGTGCTGGCCTAGGGGAGGTTTGCATCACTCCCTGAGCTCAACTTGAAGCAAACACCCCACCCAAGACACTTAGTCCAGGAGGGGAACAGCAGAGAGAGAAATCCAAATGTGAATGTGACGTAGTGCTCTCTGTTTATCTTGTAACCAACATAAATACTCCCAACCCAGCCACAGCTGATGGACAGAATATGCAGCTTACTCTGCAAACATCCTTTAGATGTGTACACGATAGGACTCTTTTTTTAAAGCCTTATTTTAAATACTAGGAAAAATAAGGCCAAGATAGGGACAAATGAAGCATTCAAAAACTGCATCCACGTCTGCATCCATGTTATATTTATGTCAAACCTGCTCAGAAGGAGAGCTGCTGTACTTCTTCGACATGCGCTTCCTCATCGTCTCTTTCACTGACTTGACTTTCTTGCCCAGTGAAATCCGAGACGTAGTGGGGGATTTGACCACTTCTCTGTATATTGCCTCCTGCTCTTTACTCTGTGATCACAAGATAGAAAAGCGAGAGAAGAAAAAGACGGAAAGACAGATGAGAGGAGATGGGAATGAGACGTTACAGATTGCACAGGGTACAACTAGGACCAAGAGAGATCACAAAAACAAAAGGGAAATCAGCGCGATAAAGCATAGCAGGAGAGTTTAGCTCGTGCTCTTCTGTTTTATTACCACTTACATTGGCCTCATTGCCTGCGTTGACCACATGGAGGGAACGGTTGGACAGGTCAAAGCCTCCAAAGCTGCATGTTCTCTGAGGGAGAGCCAAAACACAATCAAATGAGTCACACTCACCAGGCCACGTTACAGAACTTCCCCTTCCACACCCAACGAGTCAACTCACAGTGATTCATGCTCGGCACAACACGGCAGCAGTTTGATTAATGCGCATGAATGTATGGTTCGCATATATGCGAGGGCATGATGTCATATGGGACTGCAGACAGCCAACAGACATGATGTAACAAACTTTTATACGAGCTCCTCTTTAAAATTGCGAGTTATTGCTTGGTCCCAGTCAAATGAGCTGTTATATTGTCGGCTCCGAAAGGTCCCTGATATCCTCGGACAACATTAAGTTTTTCTTGATGTGGCTAAGCTACTTTTACATGTGGATATATATATAGTCCTTGCATCTCAACCCAATGCAGTTGGCCATAGTTAGCAAACATGCACAACATATAGAGCCAACAATATATTAGTCTCGCCAGAAACATTTTCAGAAAGAGCCAACTGTTTCTGCTGAGAGGACAGAGAAATGTGGATTTTTTTTTCTCAAGATCAAAAACTAAATAAAGGCAGACACAACAGAGAACTTCGACACGTAAAGAAAAAATAAATTCTTTCATTCGAATTGCTAAGTTAAACTCTAAACACAAAGATGGAGACACGGACATGCACACAAAGCATCTGCCAACAACGCTCACAGTTCAAGTGGGGCACGTGATGGCATTTCCCTTTTGCTTTCTGAGCAATTACAAAACTGCTCAGCTCAACCCTGAACAAGTGGGTGAGCGGTGCACATTAAGAAAATGGCCTTTCTACTTTACGTTTAATGCTGCGATCAACGCCACAGCTTTTCAGGAAACATAACCTGTTGCAAAGATGCTCATAAATAAGCCTGAATGTGATGATGGTGTTCAATGGAATGGACATGCACCCAGATAAAAAAAAAAAAAAAGATGTTTCTTGGAGATAATTACAGAGAAAGAGAAGAAAAATAAAAATCACATCTGCAATAGAGGCACGGGCCAAAAAAGAAGACGAAAAGCAAAAACAGAAATAAGTGAATTCAAAGTTTTTGGATGAGAACGACCTCCAGTGACGTCACTAGAACACGATAGGATTCAGGTACCCTCAAAGCTGCAGGATAGCTCTACTACGTCTTTACCTCTATGTGTCACTATTTCTGCTGGTATACACAGATTATTGAGACACATCACTACTAGCAACGTGACTTTAAATTGTCCACCATTTTCGACATGTGACAGGGTTATGGTGACAATGCAGAGTCAAGTCAATAAGGCCCGAGTCACACAAGCCTAGAGACCAGTCCACAACCATCTGGTAACCATCGGTCATCAGGGCAAAATTAGTATTCCCCATCTGGTTGGCAACAACCTTTTTTTTGGTCACTAGCTGATTTCCGCCTGTAGGTTGCACGGCAGTGAAACTGTGACACAAACTGGAAACCAAAGGCCTTCATATTAAACATTTCATCTTCTGAAACAAGCTGACTGCAGCACAAAGGCAGAACTTTTACTTTTCTGGTTTTCGTGGTAAGTTTTACTGCTGCTTTGGTTAGCAGTTAGCAAGTGTTTGCAAACAAGGTGGCATTTCTTATGTAAACTGCAGGCAACTGCAATCAATGCAGCACCCTATTTGCGAGCAATTTCAGCTTAGTGACACTGTGGAACTCTGCAACCACTCTCCAACCAGTTGGGGAATAACTGGTGGTGTATCATGTCCAATATGGTGGACAACTTTCGATCAACGTGCAAATAACCTCATAACCTCACATGGCAAACCTCTATAGGGAAGGTTTGCCAAAAAGAACTAAAATATTTAAAATTCCACCAGACTACTTTCTTTTGGGTTAAAGTCAAAAAAGTCATTACTGGCTTTTTACAATCACTGTATGATGATTAAGGTTTTCTGACCTTTCCATCATTGTGTTGCTATTCACAGCCTTATAAATGTGCAAGACAATAAGTATGGCGACTATTATGTCACTGAAGTTCACCTAACGAGTCAACCCATTCAATACGTCTTTGAATGTTATGTGCTGCAGTTATTATGAGGATGAGCAGCTCCGAGCTTGTACAACATCCCCTGCACCCACAGGGATCAGTGCGACTACTGATCTGTAAGTGCATGTGTTCTTCAGGGATCTGACATTTATAAAAGGCACTTATAAAACCTCTGCTGTAACTTAACCTCCCAAGTAGGGCACTGCGCTTTCCATAATCATTTCATATTCAGCTAAAATAAAAAGGCTTGAAGGCAAAGGCATTCGCTTAAAGGTCACTGAAGATGGCATTCTTATAAGGGCAGTTAGGTCTGTCACTGATATGCCAGCTTTTGAGGTTTTCAAGATAAAAGAACTTGTGCAATACCTGCATGTTTCCACACACACTATATTAAACGGGTACGTTTAATATAGGGTATGTAACAGCTGACCTGTTATCTTATTTGTGTATGTTTGTGCGACAGTCACCTATAAACCTCTGGGCTATTCTGCAACTTTGAAGCACACTGAGTCCTTCTCACACGAGGCGGCCGATTTAAACCTGTAGACCTAAACTCACAGACTTCTGCTGGATGCGCAAGAGCACACGCTTGGTGCAGCGGTCCACGCTGGCCGCCCACTTCCTGTCCGCCTCACGGTCCTCCTCCAATAGACAGCGCCGCTCAGCGCGGCTGAGTGTAACCGGGCGGACCAGCTGTGCCCAGTTGAGGTGACCGTACAGGCTCCGCTCTACCACATAGGTGATGTTGAGCTCACTGACTGCTGTTCGCCCACGCAGCCTGCGAGAGGGGAACACCCAGCCCCCTCCCCCACTTCCAAAAACCTTTGATTTGGATACATCACAGCGGACGGGGGAGGATGGGGTGACTGACAGGGGAGAAACGGGGGACTTAGCATTGCGCGAGCGCTGGTACAGGAGGTGCTTGGTGGAGTATGCATAGTTGGGATCAGGTTTCCGGTGCGTCCAGCTGCCGTGGTGCCGGCTGGCAGGTTGATGTTTGGGGCTGCCTTGCGGACCGTCATCCAGGGAGATCAGAAGGCGGGACTGGGAATGGGGTTTGGGGCGAGGTTTAGTCAGGCCATAGAAAGCATACAGGGCCTCGTTGCTACTTACCCCATGGGAGATGGAGTTCAGGGCCTTCCTCATCTCGCCATCAGTTGTGGAGCGTGACAGCTTTCCATCATCGTCCAATCCACAGCCATCGAGCTCTGAGAAGGAGGAGCCACTACCTGTCACACCAGGAATAGAGCCTCCCAGGGCACTGGAGCCCGCTGGGGTCCTCCTGGGGGGCCGGATAAGACCGTGGGTACTAGAAGACTTATTGAACGTTTTCACCAGCTTGTGTCCAGACCAGGTGTCCAAACTGCTGGAGGAAGGGGAGGTCGTCAGGCCATCTGTGTCTCCATCCAGAGAAAGCTGGTCATGGGTGAGTGAGGGCAGAGACGCCTCCTGGTGTAAAGGGGGCTTCTTTAGAACCCCAGTGTACAGAGCGGTGTTGTCTTCACAGGTGGGAGGTGTCTCCAGATTCATAAAATCTAAAGAAACACAAAAAGTCAGTTAGAAAGTTTATTACTCAGGAGGGTTAGACAGGAAAGTCTGCATGAGTTAGCTACCCATCAAAAAATTTACATTCTTAAAATCTGAGAATCGGGAAACCCCAAAAACATTAAAACGCCTACAGCAGTTATTCGTTGAAATTAATGTAAATCCAATTACATTAACATTATTTAGCTGGTTGGAGTGTGTAATAAATCATAAAGATAATCAAGTAATCAAATGAATATATTGCTGCCAGACAGAATCACAAACCTTCGGAGGCATGTTTCTTGCCCTCCTCCACCTTGATGAGTTTTTTCCTGACCCGACGTGTCGAGTTAACCAATTTGTGAAGCCTTTTGAATTTCACAGAGTCCTCTGATTGCTCATCATCTGACTGTTCACGAGACTGGTGGAGAGAGAGTGAGAGAGGGCTGATATTACAAAAGAAGAAGACGAGAAAAGGTAGCTAGGGTCAATAAAAAGCAAAAAAAAAAAAAATTAATAAAGAATTAAATAAATACATAAAGAAAAAAAAAAGCTATCACTGAAAATTTCTTTCCAGTTCAGCATAACAATTCATGGTTGCAGTTGTAACAGAAACAGGTGGTTTAAAATGATTAGGTAGAGAAGGTATAACACTTGGATGAATATGCTTTGAGATTTTAAGAGATCTTTTACAACGCGACAGATTGTGGAGCTCTGTTTAGGATGGCGGCAAAGTTAGTGAGGTGAGGGATGGAGGATTGGAGGGATGGTGGCACACTGCATTGTGTGAAGGTCATATTCAGTTGAGACATGAAATGCACTAAAACAACAAACCAGGTGGCATGTGATCTGGAGGAAGTGACAACCAAATGATGTAATCAATCAGCATTTTTTTTAAAAATAGGTTATCTTGAGTTATGTTGCCTTCAAAGACTTTGTTTCAGAGGAAACCACTATTTAAACGACACACACAGACAGACACGACTTTTTTTTTTTTACTCCAATTTCTATTTAATTTTACTTTTTATATATTGTTTTCAGTGTTATAATTTTTTTTTTACATCTTTATTAGCATCATTACTTTCACTGCGATTTCATTGTTTTGTAGTGGTGATGTTTCGACTGCTGCGAGAACAGATAAAGCTTTTTGTTGTCACTGTCATGGAAACATGCTCCCAGCTCACATTCATGGGAGCACCTTTTGCAAAAGGACAAAAGTGTATTTATCTTTTCCTACATATAAACAACCATATCTTAAAAAAAAGAAAAAGAAAAAAAAAGAAAAGAAAAAGTCAAATACTTTCCATACACACTTTTTTGAGTAAATTAACCCTCATGTGGTCAAGTGGGAAGAAAACTCACAATCCTATTACAATTTTCTTGTCCCCAAAACACAGAATATTAACATTTGCTTTTGTTGTACTAATGTAGTCATTTTTTAACCATTTTTTTTTTGTCAGTGTTTGAGATTAGAAAAGCATGCACACGCTTCTAAATCTGACAAGAATAATATGCATGCACATTTCTGCCTTTACGTTAACACGCAGTTTTATGCATCTGAAAGAGGAAAAAAGAAGAAAAAAAAAGGCTTTCCCGCCACCCTAAAAACAGACCACAGGCTTGGCGCAGAGGCTGTTGACATATAGTCAGGATGATGTTAACAACTGTGGCTCAGTTTGAGCAAACATTTGACAGTGACCACAAATCCCAGACAACACCACACCAAGGCCACAACAACATGATGACTTTTCATTTTCTGCAGGTATGCAAGTACAAACCTTAACTGTTGCCAACGTGAAAAGGGAAAAACTACACATCATTCCTAAAAGTGTCATTGTGTAAGTCCGTGCTTTCCACTTCATCATCGCTTTCAGAGCTACATTTTAGGTCTGATGTAACCCTTCTTATTAATAGATAACACATGTCACACATGATCATGTTTTTCATATATGTGGATATTGTGATAGACTGTGCATTTAACATTAAATCACTGAATGAAACTCCCACAGGAAAACAACTGTCCTGCACCTCTGCACGAATACAATGAAGGCCCCAAGGGTCCGATCAATACATTTTTATACTGAGCTTGAGCAGTGTGCAGGATATTTCCTTTTTTGAAACTGTAGTCTTCTGCCATGTCTGCCCAGAACACCAGACCACTCGTTTGGCGGATGACAAACCTGCAGAAACAGGCTAAGAAACCCCACTCCACTGTCCCTCCAACAACTTAACCATGTTGGTCTGACTGCTATGATAGCTTTTTCTACTTGCCATTCACCCTGGGTGATGGTTGAGTGCATTAGTTTAATTAAATTCAATGTAAAGAGAGTCTTAGTTTAAAAAACTGGAAAAAAGTCATTTTATCATATTAAGAACTATGTGCAGCGCTAATGCCCTAGCAACGTCAGGGCTGAATGATGTGATTCTTCTTCTATTCTAATGAATAGAAGATTTAGAGGAGATAGTGACATAAATCCCAACCCATTCCCAAGAGGCACTATCCATTTGAATGACCACATAAACAGGGGAATAGGGACAAACTCAGAAAGAAAGCCTAGCAAAATGAGGACGTAAATCAAGCTGGCCAAAAGGCTGCCATTTAAAACATGGGAAAAGTAAAAATGCAAACGGCGACTTTACAAACATCTATAAACAAAAGCTACGACTGAACGTCCTTTTCAGGCACACGAAAATTTCTCTGCAAATACAGAAAAAGAGCATTTACAAGAAAATCTAACAGTGAGCTCAGAAAACCAATAGAACTTACCACTATATTGGAAAAAGCAGGGCAGCACTTCCTGTGTTAATATTCCATAATTCAATCAAGCAGGATCATCAAATCCGTAGTGCCCTGAGCACATTCCCTCGCATGCACAATCCAAAATAATATCTGTGCCCCTGTGCACATGCAGGCAGACACAAACGCAGCCTATTTAGCTCAGAGGAATGAGGGACTGTTTGGAAGGGTCGTGCTTCATGGCTAGCAGAGAAAAGGCATGTTGTGCATGGAGAACAATCCCAGCATTTGAGCCCCTCTGACCCTGCCTTGGCCCCCAAATCGCTAATGGCCAGCCCTGGAATGCAGGTTCCGTTGCCGGGGCAAAAAAGACCAGAGAAAAACAGCATCAGGACGGAAAAAGTCACAGAGCAACCAAAAAAAGGTTTATTGCAAACATTTCAGCTACAACCATCAGCTGTATATTTGTGTCCGTATATAGCATACAGGAATGCACGGACGAGCAAATCTACTGATCTTGGAATTAACCTAATTCTATTCACTAGAGAGGAGAAAGGGCAGTATGTGACACCAATAGAGGCCCCAGCAGAGAAGAAATATTTCCTGTAATGGCCAATTCTGGAACATGGGGCAAAGGGAGATGCATAGCTCCCCCTTTCCTGGCCTTGGGGGCTGAGTCTTTATCTTAAGTCTCTGTCTCCCTAGTTTCCTCTCGGCTTCCAGCATTTGCCTCCAAGGGCCAAACTGTGTGTTCTGCTACACAATAATCCTTCAGTACTGTAACTCTTCCGTTTTCTCTCAAGTCTGTAAAATCCCCCAAATGATCAACCATCTTCCCACAGGAAGTGAGCCGCTAACAACAGAAAGTTTCAGGAGACTGACAAGCTGATCAGCATACTGCACTACATCAAAGAACCAGATAACAGATACAAGTTATGCGTGGCATAATTGACCTATTTTTCCATGTGAATGGATATCATCAATCATTACCCAGAAGAATAAATAATGGAGCCCCTTGATGGTGTGAGAAAACTGTTTGGCATGGGTCTTCATTCATAAAGTTACTGATTCAGTCATATAAAGAAACGGCAATGCAGATCTGATTTCCATATGAATGCAATCGTTACTTAAGCTGAGGAGTCACACGGGGTGAATGTGCAAAAGTCTAGAGCATTAGTCACCGAAGCATGTTCATTCACTTAAATGAAAGATTATGGTACTCAAACTCTGCTTGGACTGAAATCTGTATTTGTCTGCAGAACATGGGGTCAACTTTAACAATAAGACCACCAAACGCATGTTCATTCAATTAGGTGGATAAAGGGGAGAAACAGGACAGGTAACTGAGACTCTGGTGAAGAACCGATGGCATTTTCTTTTCAAAACAACATACTGTACGTGTGTGGGAGTTATTTTCAGAGAGCTTGGAATTTTTGTGTTTGTATAAATTCACTTCCTGCAAAGAAAAAAAAGTGGGTCACGCATAAAACTTTGCATGCTATTCCCAAGCGATGCCATACAGTACATTCTTTATAATCTGCGTGTTCACATACAACTGCCCTGACCACTGCAAGTCTCGATTCTGCATCAAGGCTGACCTCCATTTAAAAAAACACTCAAGCAAAACACACACACGTAGCAGCACATAATAAATAATACACAAGAAAAGAACCGACTGATTGTCATCAAAATCCAAACAGCGACCAACAAAGAGGTGATTGTCGGCGCTCCTACCTCTGAACACATAGCCGCCGTTATGCAGCCGACTTTCGAACATCAAGTATCCTCAATGCTGAATGCTGCAAAAGTTTTGGGGTGGATTTTGTGTGCCTCTCCACTTGGCTTTCCAAAAGTTACAATTATAACCAACTGATGTAAACAGACCTGCCCTAAATTTCCACAAGACAATTTCCCTGTCACTGCAGCAGCCAATTATGACGTTTGGTGGGACAATTTTCTAATGAGATGCCCAGGCGAGGATTAAACTGATGACTAAAATATGGAAGAGGACTTTCAGAGAATTGCACAGTTCTTGTTCTGACTGCCAAAAAGAAAAAATGAGCAGAGCCTAAGGAAAACCAGAGTTGAGCAATGAACTGAAATGTTCAGAGGCAACATCAATACTACTAGGATGCACTTGACATGGTGGAGAGAATGCATATGCAGAGGCAGTTATGTTGTAGTTTGGCTATCGAATGCAGAACAGAGAGCGAAATATAAAGGAAGAAAAAAAAAGGAAATTCAAGAGTAAAGTTGAATCATTCACATTTGGATAAACACATTCACATATATAATCAACTCAATGTCACTGTTCTACATCCCATCCCTCTCCTGTGAAAGTTTAAACTCAAAGTGAGAGTGGCTGAGGTGAGAGTGTTAAGAAGAGGGAGAGTAAAAGGGAACAGATCAAGGCTTTGATAGGCTTGGGTAACGGAGGAAGGGGCAGGGGTGAGGGTGTACTTACGTTGCAGTTTGAGGACTGGTTTAGATTGGGTGCAGATCCGTCAGCCCACTCTGCAGTGTCAGTACTGCTGGACTGTCTGCTGCGCTCATACTCCTTCAGCTACGTGGAGAAGAAGAGGTCAGAGAGGCAGAGGAACAGGGCGGGACCACCCACTCTCACCCAGCATGCTATGTCTCACTATATACTAGACTGGAAAACATCAGCAGTGTGCATTCACGAGGATAGAATGGCTACTATAGTTTGTGAACTGACGGCTGAAGCCGGTGACCATGAGGGAAATTAGCAAGGTTACTGATTTTATAAACAGGTCTCTGCATCCTTTCACCATTTTTTTTTCTTTTTCAGATTCTATGATTGGTTTGACAGAATGTCAATCATAAGACAGGTAAAATCCTCCAATTTAAAATTAATATCCTGGAAGAAAATAAAAAGACATGTAAAAGGAAAATTAACATCTGCCTTTGGGAGAGCAATCCAGTCTTCTAACTCTGATGGCCCGGCATGCTACCCAGGAGAAAAGCACCATAAATTGAAATTGACAGAAGGAGAGGAGATGAAGAAAAAAAAACAGACGACAGAAAAGTCACAAACCAATCAACAGATATTGATTGAGAGTCAGATCAAAATGAAAGTGCATTGGGGAAAAAAATGGATAGGACAGCCAAATGAATATCCACCATGTCCAACTAAAGAGAAAGACCACAATGCACCACAGAATCCCTCCAACAGATGGGGCTATTGAGCTACTATGACCGTCAACCTCGCAAGTATGAGCTGAACAACACACCCACACACTCCAAGAGCTCACACTCCAAAATCCCTGGACTCCTCAACCTCTGGAGACACCATTAAGTCTGGAGTTATGTGTGTGTGCTGTGTGTGTAAAGAGGACAATGCAGGCGCAAAAAAAAAAAAAAAAAAATATATATATATATATATAGGGAATATATATAGGATAAAAAGGGAGGGGGTTGGTTAGTAAGAGTAAGTCGTTTTAGAAAGCCAGAGCTGCTGAGGGAGTATGAAGAAAGGGAGGGTTTAAAGAAGATTACAGCCCATCAGTCGTTGGGGCATGAGGGTCGATGAGGGAGGGGATAAAGTGCAAGAGACAATGAGGGAGGTTCCTACCCGAGCCAGAGCTTCTTCTACGGTGATCATCTTCTCTTTCACCATCATCATCAGCTGGATCCGCTCCTCATCGCTCATGGTGATCTCGCTGGCCACGTAGCCAATATCTTCTCCTGATTGTGGTAAAGACCAATGAGCAAAAAGGAAAACACGAAGCAACAAATATCTGGTGAACCTAATGTGTACAATAGAGCCGCACAAACCTTTGGACGTCTGTCGTACAACGGGTTTGTGCTGAGATTTGCGGAAGTTCTGCCAAAAAGATTTGTTCTTCTTCTTACTGTCCCATTTACCTTAAGGGAGGAAATAAAAGACGAGGTTACACACAAGCAAGAAAACACGATGAGCATGAGAAATACACTAAACCGGGTTATGCACGTTGCTGTTTCAGGAATACAGGAAAGAAACTGTTCGGTTCAGTGTTTCAGTGCTTTAAATACGAAAACTAGGTCAGTCAAAACAACTCTGTTATTAAACACTAGTATGTACTCTACAATGGTTAATCCTGTAATGGAATTTCATTAGAATTACTCTGTCTGATAAATGTCCGTGTCTTTTAAACCACAGCTTGAGTTTATATCAAAGGCAAACTTGACGATCCCACTATGACATCATCAGGATTTTACTTCTCAAATCTAACAAACCTTCTCTTGAGCACAGGAGACAAAATATAACTGTTTTCATAAGAGCTCTACCCATGACTGGAATGTGTTTAACTAAAATTTTATATGTTTACTAAATTAATTAATGTAAAACTAAAATGCAATATTACACTTCATTCAAACTTCTGCTGCCTCATCGTCCAGACCTGAGAAGGTGAATAAAGATGTGAGTATGATGCTGGTTTTAGGTGTGAGAGATCCTGAGGTTAAACCCCACCGGGTACCCACTTATGCTTCCACCCTGCTTGATGTAGGACATGTAAAATGATATTGGAGGTTTACATAAACAGGTATTTTGCCTCACCTACGCAACCAAAATCTAAATCTAAAAATAAAGTGTTAAAAACAGCAAGGAGATTATGATTACCCTAAAAGAGCATCAAAACGTAGTGACTATCCCACAGATAGTGTCAAAAATAGGCAATTTAGCCCAGACACTTTGCACCGTTACTGGAAGTCCAGCTGGGTTCAAGGTGGCATAATTGTATATTGACTTGAAATCTATTTACCTCCAGATCCATCTTCAGAGCTGGACTTGTGTAGAGACATTCTGAAAGAAAACAGAAAAATATCACTGTTTAAAAGAAAAAATGAAAAATTTACAGTGTCTCTTCTAATCTCAGTGAACCACATAAAAAGAACACTGATGCTCAGCGACAATTATACATGTTCAGGGAGTGGGTCTGCATTTCTGTGTATCCACCACTTGGGGTCAGTGATGGTACTTTAGTGATTTAGACCAGGCTCCTGAGGCTTGAGAGGGAGAGGGAGGAAAAGAGATGTGGGTAACAACACCCCTGCTGCAAAAACAAGTGGGTAAGATGAAGATGGCAGTAATACAGAAGTGTTTAGGAGCAGTACAGAAAGCAGGAAGGTCAACAAGACGAATGGAAGAACAACCATTTAACAGTGGTGCGCAGATTGAAGAGGGAAAGTAAGGAACTGAGGAATAGAGAAACAGAAGGAGACAGAAGGGGTAGGAGGAGGAGGAGAAACCACAGGGCAGACTCAGCCTGTTTGTGTTTCCACTTCCCTCCACAGGATAGACAGTCACGAGGAAGAGAGATGGGAGACTGAAACTAAGGGCATAGAGAGAGATAGAAATGGAAAATGTGTGAGTAAAAACAAATACCCCAATGTGCGCATAAATCTGTCTCAAAAAAAAAAAGAAGTAAAAGCCTCTGGTAAAACATGAACTGCGGTGTTCTGATGAAAAAGCCATGTATGAGCAACCTCTCGCCATTTTCTCGAAAGTTCAGCAGCAGGGAGTCAGCATAACCAGCTGACTCCCTGGTTATGCAGAAGTTGACAAACCACATCAAGAACTCTATTTTGGTCTTAAAAGTTGTGGATAAAGCAAAAATATTGACTTTTCATGCAAAGTTTGCAAAATACAGGCCTGGTGACAACACTGTAAAGGTATGTTTAGATGTATAATAGTGTGGGAGTGATAACTGTAAGCTGTTCTTTCAGTTAAAATGGAAATAAATCACAGGGGGAACAGAGTACTTTAAATTTATCCAGCTGATAACCTAAGAGACTTATTAAGCTAATCTCTCTTCTAAAGGCATGTCTCGCTCTTTTACCGTCTCTTACTGGCAGGTTTTCACACACCCGTCTGTGAATTCAGCCAACTGCGCACGTGCATACAGCTGCTGAGTCACACACAAAGACAGGTGGTTGTCGCTGAAGCATCATGAAAGAGTGACGGGATCAAAACAAGATGAACAGGTCACTTTTCCTCTCCAGTTGGTACACGGCCCTGTATGCGCGCGCATGCGACCACGTACATTTGTTCAAATATGGTAGCCCTTGTCTAGGTGCAATGGGAAATCTTTGCACGGCTTAAAGCCCGGCTGCCATGGCAACGTAATGAGATGCTAATTGAATGGATGCCTGTATGGTTTACTCCTCTGCTCCCCCTCCCAGACAGGCTAGGGCCAAAGCTAATGCTAAAAGAACTCCCTCAATAGAAGCTTTTCTGTAGCGGCATCGTCACCCCCCACCCCACCTTCATGCTCTATAAATTAACCTCCCATGCAGCGCACAGAGACATGCACTCACGCGCACACATCCGCTCGCTAAAAGAGCCTGAATGTCTTCCAAAAGTGTGTTAACCCAGCATAGTGTGGCTAGGCAACTTAATTGGTTTAACCTTAAATCTTTGGCATGCCTTCCTATTTCAATTCTCCTCTCTGCAGTGAGAAGGGAACATGTAACTGCTAACAGAGGTACTGTATAACATACAGTATCTCTACTTTGGGTTGAACCTGTCCAGGACAAGCACAGGTTGCTTCTCATGATGTGTGTACAATATGAAAATTAAAGTTACCATGTGTTTGCTTATTTAAGCCCATATTCACTATGCGTGAATGCTTGCTTTGCGCTCTGAAAATGATATGTTTGTGAGCACTATTCCTAGCTGGGATGAACAGCATGAGTAATTTTCAAAATGATAAGCTGCAAGTACCATTTGTGTTACAGTACAGGGCTTTGAAACTACTGCAGATATGTAATATAGCTCATATGCTGTGTGACAGAGGTGCTGTCTAGAGCAGATGATGATAAACCAGCACATGGGAAGATTTGAACACAGCTGTGTGAGCTCATGTTTAATGGCATCTTACTGCCATTTTTTTGTACTGCGCTCAGGTGAAATTACGGGAATGGACGCATGTTTGTACACACACACATTGTGTTTTTTGTGTGGTTACAAGGTTGGCCACCTGGAGCAAAGCAATCCCCGTTGTTCTTGACGAAACAATGAGAGGTGACAGTATGACGGTAGCAGTGTCCACAGGAAGAACAGAGGGACGACCTCTTTAGGGAGTCAGAGAGGTCACCGCAAAAGGGAAGGCAGGAAAATAGAAAATTATGCACTTAGCTGAAAAAGTACGTGTATATCAACTACGAGCGCACTTTCCTGTCGTTCAACTTGCCATCTACTTTGTTCAACTTAAGGCTACAATACTCACCAGCACAAGGTAAATGTGCTGACAAGGTGCTTTAGTTTCCCAACATGGTGCTTGTTCTGAAACAGATTCTTCCATCTGATTATTGCGCTTTCCAGCAGCACAGATGCCTCTAAGCGCACTACCATTTTCAAACCCAGTTGGAGCCGCCAATTCGTATATTCTGTTTCTGCATGTGCGTTTTCATCAAAATCCATTAACCTCTTTTTTTTTTTTTTACCTTACTGATAAGCAAGGTGCCCATTCTGCACAGCAATATCCACCAACCAATCAACTTCCAAAAACAGGATGTTGCAAACTTGAACCTTTCAGCCTTCTGGGAGCTCTCTGTCAACACCACTTGTAAACCAGGCACAATCAGAGCTGTGCCCACGTCTTGCCAACAAAGTGACATAGAAACAGGGAAAAGAAGGGTGACTCCAGCCCCTGGATGAAGACTGGGAAATCTTATCTGCCTGCTATTGTCCTGCAAAGAGGCGACAGTGGGGTACCCGTGCTTGTGCGCATGAACGTGCAAGCGTGCCTTTTGTGCGGCTGTAAGGAATGCACGGGGCATGCCTATCGGTCTGCCTGCACATGATAAATCACTCCACCTGAAATCCATTCACCATGGTGGAAAGTGGACAATGGACAACTTAATAGAGAAGAGAACTGGGGTGAGTGGGAGCAGACAGGCTGCCAGTGAATGATAGATTAAAACAAAGAGGGTTATTACAAGTGCGATGTGGGAAGTTTTGTAATTTAAGAATAAAAACTCAGAGAATGGTAGGTTTACAAGTTATATTATACACACACACATATATATATAAATATATTTATTGGTGATGGTAAGGGAAAGAGAAACCATGCAACGCATGAGAAAGAAACCAGACTGACAGTAAGAAAATGGATAATATAGTACAGTTAGGGGCTTTTTTAGGGTCTCTTTCAAACAGTAGAGAGACGTCATTTTGGCATCTGGATCCCATCATCTTCTGCATTTGTCTGTGCAACATATAAAGCCATGGGAATAGAGATCATGTCTGCGGTATGCACTTCACTGGTCATCACGTGAGGATGGCAGCTCCACCGGGGCTGATTACTTTCCTAAAATTTGGGGGTTTTCTTTATCACTACCAATGACCAACACTGCCCAAGGAGCTTATTTTGTAACGAGGTCTTTACTAGACAACCCGTCATGAGGAAACAAATATATTCTTAACATGCCGTCTCATTTATCAAACATACGTGGCCATAAAGCGACCGTGTGTGTGCGATCAGGCCATTTAGCCAACTTGGATCGCTTTAAATTTGCATAGCATTGTATAACAGTGACCTCATGGTGGGCTACGACCTAGAAATTTTATGCAAGCAAAATACAGTGGTATTCAAAAAAAAAAAGAACATACTTTTGTGTAACAGGATCCAGTAAAAAGGAACCCCACCCATGCCCAGTTCCATCCTGCTCTTTCGTTCATGCTCTTTTGCTCTAATCTTTTGGCCATCACCCTCTCCGTCTCCCCCCCCCTGTACATCGCAGAACACAAAGGCAGGAAGGAAGTATAGACGGCCTGGAGAATAGAGAATGGCTGCTGGTCCAAGCGAGTCAGCCAGAGGAAGCAGTCACTGGGTTTCCTTTAACTGCAGCAGCAATGTGAGCAGAGAAGCATGGAAGACCAACTACATCTTTTTCGAGACGTCCATTAGTGCAGATTGCTCCTTAACTTTAAACTCTCTTGAAAATGACCTTCTAAATAGTCAGTGGGTAATGTTTTATTACCATCATTAGAGCAAATATGCACACGTAAACTAGCATCTTCTGCTTTAAAAAAAAATAAACAAAAAAAACAAAACAAGGTTCCACATAATAGATCTACCAAACACATTAGCTGTGTCTGAAGCTGTGTGTATTTCTCTCCATATTTAGCCGTGGACATGAAGAAAGTGTGATTTTGTGTGCAGGCATGCACAACTTGATATGAGCCAGACACAGGCTGCAAATTGTTTGGAAATGCAGCAGACAGACATCTCAATCCAAGCATACTTCACAGATGCGCATTTGCTACAGTCACATTTTATCAGGGACAAAAATGGAAACTTACTTTCTGTCCGTTTCAGGAGTGGACACCTCGCTGCTGAAGCCTAAAGATTCCTGGAGAGAGAGACAAGGAAGGGGGTGGAGGCACGTGTCAGACTTTTGGTAACAATGACATCTGACGGTATTTCACAAGTGCTACTCTTATGCAGGTGTCTTCGCCTACCTGGATCTCATTACGGAGCTGCAGAGAGGTGCTGCTTGGGTCTTGTTTCTCCTGAAAAATTAGATGGGGAGGAGTGAGAAGGTCAAGCATCACAATCCAAGAGACAAAGGAGCAAATCACAACACCGGGAAAGTAAAATAGTTCTTTAAAGAAAGCTAAAGACGAAAGGATAAAAAAAATAAAAAATACAGCAACAGTGGAGGGAATGCTTCACAGTGCACTCATGCATGTACAGACGTTTTTGTTTTTTTTATTATTGTCAGAGTCAGACATACTTGAAAAGGCGTCAAAACAAACACAAGCACGTGTGTGTACACCAACAACTGCTGCTGGGCAAGTCATGACTTGCTTCAGGCGCCCCAGTCTGCATGAACAGTTCTGAAATGTAACTCGGCACCTGCAAAACTGGCTCCGTGCATCCGATTTTGTAATGACAATTACATCAGTAAACTCGCTTCACTCAAGACAAACACCTGCTAGTTTGCCTCTTATCTTACATTAGAATACAACATGCCATATTTGACTAACTGCACAGGCAGACATGCAAAACAGACATCCAGACCTGGCTGAGCTTTGCTCGTAAATTTAACGGTGGCTTTCACTACAACTGTACGAAAACAATATAAATCGCATTTATTTTTAAACTCTCTTTATACACAAAATGTTCCCAAGTTTTTCCAGCTTTTAAACTCGCTGTCAGTGTGTTTGCACTACTTGGCTGGAGCTAATGAATGTGTCTGAAGCAGGTGCATTTATAACAACTCCAGATACAGATGTGTCTTGAATAAAGTGCTGAATAAAGGCAGACACTGAGGCAGATACCATCACAGCGAGTCTGCAACAAGATTTTAACTTGCAGCGTGTGAGTATTAATAGCCAATTAGACTCCTTGAGGGAATGGCTGACTACATAGTTCTGGCGGCACTCTTGTGTCCTTTTGAACTGTCAAGCAGGAGATATCATGACTCCCTATACTCAGACTTGCCCAGTGCTACCACTGTTTTTAAACTTCAGGCCACTAACCAGCACAGAAACAGACACAGTCAACAACTTGCTTAAGGCTGGTGAGCATATTTTTTCCAAAGGCTCTCAGGCTTGAAGACCCAACATCTGAGGTTAACATCAGGACAAAGCTCTTATTTGCTGAAGGTCATACCCCTACTCGTTGCACAGTTATCATTATGTGACTTCACTCTTAATTTGTTGTCATCCCTTCTATCATGTGAGTAAGCAAGACTGGAAAAGACCCCATTAGTTGCCTTAATTTGCAACATATGTAAGAAAATGTCAATTATAACATTGCTAAAACTACTAATGAAGCACTAATAAATGATCAGAGTATGCAGGGCTTGGGTTTGGGGGTCTTCAACCAGATGGGTCATCGAATTACAAAAAAGGTGAAGACCCTCGTGAAGACCCCTTTGGTTTGGGTCACTGTCAGCAACATTTATGAGATTTATCAGGTCCACCTAAGAATAGAAACCAAAATCTAAGGCAAGTTCGCACTTCCACTTTCTTTCTGTCTGACCTTTATTATTTAGCAGTTCATGAAGAATTACAGGAAACAAGTCCCGATGTAAATGCTGATATTACATTTTTATTTTTGGTTATTTTGTCTGTCCTATCATATTGAAATTGTCCAGGATTTCTTAACACATCTAAAATTAAAAACTATTTCCCCATCTTTCTACAGAACTCTAAGCTTTCCGTTTCACTGGCTCTCTCGCTGCAGGATAACAAACACGATATAGGGGATGGTTGAGGGTTACTTGGACTGTCTTGACTTCTACAATCAGTAAAAAATTCGCTATTATAAGCCCATTAACAAAAGACAAATGTAATCTAGAATTTCCCCGAAATGGAGAGCGGGAAAGGAAATTGGCATCCTCATCCTGCATCTCCACACCCAGGTATTAAGCTGTAGGACAGCAGTCACGGGAAGCATAACACAGACAGTTTCCTACAGTTAAGAGAGTCACGCTTCCTAATCTGGACGACCTCCAGTTTAACCTTTTTATATTCATATAATGGTTGAGGGAGTGCAATCCTTCCACACTGTTGCCCCATGAACATGAGTAAGGCATGAGCAAGTGTATTAGTCAGGAGTGACATAACTACCTTTAAGCGTTCTTTGGAACTTTGGAACAACCGTAAGTTGCAAGTCAAATGAGCAGAGGACCTGAAGTGCTAAAGTGGCTTAAAACCTCTAAATTAGCCCAAGTCCCACAATAACCACACACAACTGAGGAGGTGGCTGTACGGATTTTAGCGAGACAGTCATTAAACAATCATTTTTGCTCAACACAAGTCCTACTGGCCATTTGTGTATTTGTCTGTTACTTCAATCAACGAGACAGAGACATGTGACTGGAAGCTTCTTCGTGAAGTAAATCAAGTCATGTCGGAAGACCATTTAATTTGTACATCCCAGGGAATATGGGGATTCCCATAAGTCAAAGAGCAGGTACACATCTACAGTCGTGGAAGCTTGTTTCTACAGTCACCAAGCTGCACGTAAGGAAAATCTCGGAAAGGACTGTTTGTCTTTTTTCTTGCAAAGGCAGAGATTACGAGAGACAAAGACACAACACATTCATCCCTTAAGCAAGCACCACTTTGGCAGCTCTATTTAAACAAATGAATTGTGCAGAATATTGTGGACCCACGTTAAGAGGGAGGCTGTGAACGAGGAGTATACTCCCATGCAAACACAGTGCACAAACGCTTTCTAAAAGGTAGTGGTTGGCTGGTTTTGCTATCAGATCCTCTTTGCGGCTTCTCCGGACAGCAGCTACAGGACAGATACCAGTTTCACCAGTGGGTAACTGTAAGCACCATGCCAGCTCGTTGTAAAAGTGATTTTAATGTACAATGTCTCTGTACTGCTTGGATATTGGATAAACACAAAAATACAGCTGACACTGACCCTGGCATCGCCACATTCATTCCACCACAGACATAAACCCAGTTCAAGGAACATCTACACACATTCACACATCTCGCCCCCACTTTCACACACACTAAAAGACCTATAAGACACAATGTGGCTCTCTGTTCCTCCTACTCATCCTCAGCTTCCCTTTATTTCCTGTCTGTGCGTGCCATCTCTGACATGGAAAGAGAGTGAAAAGCTGAAAAGATGAGTGAAAAACAAACAAAACCTACATGTTGTTCACTCTCCGCTAGAGATCTGTGGGATTAATCTGTCACAGAGCAGGATGTGATGAGACAAACAGTAAATGGTTCCAAAAGTAAACCTCCATTTCTCTCAGACACACAGTTAAACGATGAATAACTTGCTGACACGGTTACTTGAAAGAGAATATCAAGGCAATCTGTGTTTGAGGCGGTGCCTACGAGCGTGTGTGTGTATAAAGCATAGATCCCACAATGCATCCCCCCCAGAGGCGGCAGGCTATCCTTTACACGAACTTTGCAGAATAATCTTAAGATGCTGCCCTACTTACCTAAAAGTGGCATGTAAGCGTGTGAACGTGCATGCGTTTTTCCCCTTAGATGTCCAAAGGCGTTGCTTGTGCATGGTTCGCTTAGTGTGTATGTGCGTGCAATTGTGATGGGAGAATGATTGGTTAAGCATGACTGAATTAAGTTAAAATGAAAGGGAGAAAGAAGGGAGAGCTCTGACTAATGAGGATCACGATGTCTGAGCACAGGGAAACTGGCATCGGAAACGACTAAACCCTAACACACAAGCGCTACTGAAAAGTGACTTTACTTCCAAAAACCACAGTGCTTTCCATCATTAACCTGGAAACTACAACAAAGTTTAGCTGCGCAACAGGAGATCCAGATATTTTTTTTTAATTAAAGGGAAAGCTTCAAAATACAGATGAGTGCTAAACACATATTCCATTCACTGCAAAAGCCTGTTGAAGTCACTTTTACTTCACCAAAATTACTCCCAACCTCAGATGGAAAAAAAGGTGTATGTGTAGCAAAAAGACCAGGTGGCGTAGTGGAGGTAGGCCAGCTGGCATGGCCGAGTGAACCTGGGTGGGCAACTGTAAGTAGCCCTGTAGAAAAATATGTAGTGGAACAGGTACCTACTGCAATCCCTGAAAAAGACGTTAGAGGTGGAACTAGTACAGCACAGTGCAAGCCTGCGGGACTGGCTGTTCTGGAAAA